ACGCCGGAACAGATACTTGATTGAACCTAGAAAACACCAAAAAAACTGTTCTGTTTAGAATAACTAAGCAAAAACAGTGCGTGCGCGTTGATGGCTGAGGACGCTCTTAAGTGGAAAAGCCATCATGAAGGCATTCGAAATGGGACAACACAATGAGCAGACATGGTGACGGATTATGCCAATTATTACCGGTCCCAATTTTGTGTGCGCAAAAGAACCTGCTGCAAGCCCCAAGCTTAGCGTGGCCAACGGTCACCTAGCTACCGGCATTTTTCCGAGCCTCCTCTATCCCCTTACCCCCCCCCTCTCCCTACTTGCCGCTTAATTAGCCGCTTGTTACTAGCCCAACCCCTCCCCTATTCCCTGGACTAATTTGCTTGTAAGTTTGAACATAATTTTACCTTTTACACTTTACCCCCTCCCATATAAATGTAATGGGCTGATGAGAATTTATTGAAAGTATACGTATGCTCGCCAATTGCTCTTCGGATTTCTGTGATGGGAATTTTTGCAACCTTATGCCAATTAGTCGATACAAGCTAAAATGCGACTGTCAGAAAGTAATTAAAACGAAGGAGAAACAGCCGCGATCACTGGAACAAGCACTTTACTGACCTGACGCTTCGGATGTTGGTTCGAGCACGAATCCGAAATGTCAGTCGAATAAAGTGCTTGCTCTAACGATCACATCGACTCCTTCTCATAAGCCAATTAGATTGAGAAAGATTACATAACCCTTGGGGCTAGGCAAATCCTGTCCAATATATATACATCGATGGACCTTTGTCTGGGGTTAGAGATAATTGTCCAAATGTTGGATCACCAACATCGTCCAAATGAAGTCTAACGTAGCATGTTGACATCAGGCAAACTCGAAAAAATATACAGTATGGCAAGTCTTGCCAATAACTTTCATGACGAAATTTAACTTGGTAGTCTGGCATATAGTTGGACAGTTTATTTTGATCAACTCAGTGTATTGATAATTATAAATGCTTTAGTTTGGAAAACTGCT